ACAAAACAAATCCTGGAGGGGCAGAACCCACAAAAAGATGAGGTAAAATAATTTTCCAGCCAAAGAGAACTTAGAAAGTAAGTAGGAAAAATCTGTCACATCTGGGTGAGAATGGAATACAGTCCACCATAGGCTACACCAGTGCAGACCAGGCCCCAACAAACCAGGAGCAAGCTTTGGGAGCCCCTGAATCAGCTCTCAGCCCACAGATGGAAAGGAGGTCAAACAACTGACGAGAAAGAGATGATAGGGGTCTCTTTGCTGGCACTGGGAGTAGGATTCTGTTGCTTTGACCATACTCAGATGCGGGTTGCAGTCCTAGGTAGCAGTCCCATGGTGAGGAGGAGCATTAGCACACCAGAGCTTGTAGCTATAGTGAAGCAGGGGCCTTTGTCACAGTCACAGGGCAGAAAAGAGTGCTTGTGGTCATCCACAGACCAGAGCACAGGCCAAGAGAGTTGTAAACACCTCTCCTTAGATCATACCACCTTGGAAGAACTGAAAATTTACAAGTCCCTAGAAGTTATCTCCGAAAACAGGTGCAAAAAACCCCTGAAGCTTGGAATAGTGCATCTTCCACCCTGGAAGCAGAGCCCCACTTTAACAAAGAGTTAAAAGTCAAGAAATAAACTGGAAAACTGAGCAAAGAAAAAAACAGAAAAAAATTCTGACCATAGAAAGTTACTATAGTGACAAGGAAGATCAAAGCATACATTTAGAAGAAGGTAACAAAGTCAAAGCTCCAACATCCAGAGTCTCCAAGAAAAATATGAATTGGTCTTAAACCGTGGAAGAGCTCAAAAATGGTTTTGAAAATCAAATAAGAGGTAGAGAAAAACTGTGAAGAGACATAAGAGTGATGCAAGAAAATCATGAAAAAAAGAGTCAATAGTTTGGTAAAAGAGATGCAAAAAGAATACTGAAGAAAGTAATATTTTAACAAACAGAATAGACCAAATGGTAAAAGAGGTACAAAAAGTCAGTGAGGAGAAGAATGCCCTGAAAAGCAGAATTGGCCAAATGGAAAAAGAGGCACAAAAATTCACTGAAGGAAAAAATTCCTTAAAAAGTAGAATTGGCCAAATGGAAAAGGAGGTACAAAAGCTTGCTAATAAAAATTAGAATTGAGCAAATGGAAGCCAATGACTTTATAACAAATCAAGAAACAATAAAACAAAACCAAAGGAATGAAAAAGTAGAAGCAACTGAAAAATATCTCATTGGAAAAAAAACCACAACTGACCTGGAGCATAGGTCCAGGAGAGATAATCTAAAAATTATGGGATTACCTGAAAGCCATGATCAAAAAAAAGCCTAGATATCATCTTTCAAGAAATTATCAAAGAAAACTACCCTGATGTTCTAGACCCAGAGGGCAAAATAGGAATTGAAAGAATCTAACTGATTACTTCCTGAAAGAGATCCCAAAATGAAAACTTCCAGGAATATTATTGCCAAATTCTACACTCCCCAATCAAGGAAAAAATATTGCAAGTACCCTGAAAGAAACAATTCAAGCACCATAGAGCTTCTACATTATAGGATCAGAGGGCTTAAAATATTATATTCTGAAGGGCAAAGGAGCTAGGATTACAACCAAGAATCAAACACCCAGCAAAACTGAGTATAATGCTTTAGGGGGGGAAATAGACATTCAATGAAATAGAGGACTTTTAAGTATTCTTGATGAAAAGATCAGAACTAAATGGGAAAAATTTGACTTTCAAATATAACACTCAAGAGAAGCATAAAAAGGTAAACAAGAAAGGGAAATCATTAGGGGCTTAACAATGCTAAACTATTTACATTCCTACATGGGAAGATGATACTTGTAACTCATAAGAACTTTATTATTATTAGGGCAATTAGAAGGATTGTATATAGAAAAAGGGTACAGATGTGAGTTGAATATGAAGGGATGATATCTAAAAAAATTAAGGAGTGAAAAGAGGAATATACTGGGAGAAAAGGAAAGGGAGAGGTAGAATGGGGTAAATTATTTCACAATAAAAGAGGCAAGAGAAAGCATTTACAGTGGAGGGGAAGAGAAGGATGTTGAGAGAATGAGTGAACCTTACTCTCACTAGAATGGGCTCAGAGAGGGAATAACATACACACTCTACTGGGTATAGAAATCTATCTTACCCAACAGGAAAGTAGGAGAGGAAAGAGATAAGAGAAGGGGGGTGATAGAAGGGAGAGCAGATTGAGGTTGCTGGTAGTCAGAAGCAAAACACTTTTGAGGAAGGACAGGGTGAAAGGGGAGAGAGAATAGAATAAACAGGGTAGGTGGGAATAGAATGGAAGGAAATACATTTAGCAATAGCAACTGTGAAAAAAAAATTTTTTTGAAGCAAGTTTCTCTAATAAAGACCTCATTTCTCAAATGAGAACTGAGTCAAATTTATAAAAATAAGATCCATTCCTCAATTGATAAATGATCCAAAGATATGATCAGTTTTCAGATAAAATAATCAAAGCTATCTATAGCCATATGAAAAAATGCTCTAACTCACTATTGATGGGAGAAATGCAAATTAAAACAATTCTGAGATACTAACTCATACCTATTAGATTGGCTAATAGGACAGAAAAGAAAAATGACCAGTGTTGAAGGGAGTATGAGAAAAATGAGACATTAATGCATTGTTGGTGAAGTCGTGAACTGATTCAACCATTCTTGGAACTATGCCCAAAGGGCTCTAAAAGCATTCATACCTTTGACCTAGCAATACCACTACAAGGTCTGTATCCAAAGAGAGATAAAAACCAAAAAGGAAAAAGACATATACATACAAAAATATTTATAACAGAACTCTTCTGGTGGCAAAGAATTAGAAATTGAGGGTATGCTCATCAATTAGGGAATGACTGAAAAAATTGTGCTACGTGAATTTGATAGAATACTATTGTGCTATAATAAATGATGAGCAGGATGCTTTCAGAAAAACCTGGACTCTTATGAGCTGATGCAAAATGAAATGTATTATGTACAAAGTAACAGCAATATCATAAGATGATCAGCTGTGGACCACTTCACTATTTTCAGCAATACAGTGGTCAAAGACTATCCATCCCCAGAGAAAGAACTGATGGAGTCTGAATGCAACACAGATTGAAGCATACTTTTTTTAACTTTATTTTTCTTGAGTTTTTTTTTTGTCTAGAGCAAGGAAATAATTAATACCAGGGGAATCAACAACTAAACTGATTTTAATATTCTATGGCACAATTTACCTATACTGTGTGCAATACTACAGACTTTCATTAATATGTCTGAGCATGTACCTTTTTTCCCAGCAATATAAAATTGGTTTAGTTTCCAAAAATAAAGTATTTTAAGAATTTGCCTAAATTTACTTTTGTTATTGACCATTTTACTTCCCTCTCCTTAATGTTATGTTATAAACACATACAGGAAGCATATTTTAGGCAAAGTGTAAAAAGCTGGGGACAAAGTTCAGCCAACAATTTTTACTCCAGAAAAAGAATGGAATGTGCTTTCTTGTATAGAGAAGCAGTGGAGGTAGCTATACATTTTAAATCTTGTAAGCTACAATGACCAGCTATGTAGGGTGAGGTGTTAATTGTTAGACCAAATGGTCCTTTTTATACACAAGTAGGGGTTGCTTTTGTGAAGCCTGAAACTGTTCCTTCAGGGGCTGATGAATCCTTGATATTCTTTCTTTCTTTCTTTCTTTCTTTCTTTCTTTCTTTCTTTCTTTCTTTCTTTCTTTCTTTCTTTCTTTCTTTCTTTCTTTCTTGCTAGGCAATGCGGTTAAGTGACTTGCACAGAGTCACACAGTTAGTGAGTGTTATGTGTCTGAGGCCGGATTTGAAATCAGATCCTCCTGACTCCAGGGCCGGTGCTCTATCCACTGCGTTCCTGATATTCTTTCATTTTAAACATTTGCAGAAGAAGAAAACCAGGTGGTGGCATAATGGCATAGAGCCAGGGGATGTTCAAATTCTTCCTCTGGCACGCCCTATCAGTTTGTCCATGATCACAGTCATTTAATTTTTCAATATGTCACCCCTCCCTGCCAACCCCCAGGCAATTCTCTAAAACTATAAATGATGGACTAAATTTCCATGCCAGGGATTTTCTCTAAACTTGGAACTGTCTAGAAAGAGAGGCTCAGTTTAGAGGACAGAGCTCATGAGAAAGGCTGATGATTTTTAAATTTTTTTTTTACCAGATTGGACTTGCTTACATATGAAAATAGTTTAATTTTAATCTTCAGGGTTCAATTTTCTAGTCATTGGAACGATGAGAATTTTCCTTAGCACCAAGCACAGTTCCTGGTACGTGGCAGGTGCCACAGATAGATTGTGTAGTGTATAGAGTACTAGGGAAGACTCATCTTCCTGAGTTCAAATCTGGCTTCAGACACTTACTAGCTGTGTAACCCCGGGCAACTCACTTAACTTTATTTGCCTCAGTTTCCTCATCTGTAAAATGAGCTGGAGAAGGAAATGACAAACCACTCCAATATCTTGGTCAAGAAAACTGAAATGGGGTCAGGAAGAGTCAGATATGACTGAAAAATGACTGACCAATAACAATAAATGCTTGCTGAACTATTTAAGTGGCTAGTGAGCAGTTCCTGCTTCCTGGGAGGCTGAGGCTTGAGTTCTAGAGTTCTGAGTTGAAGTAGCGCAAGAGCTGATGGGGAGGCTGGTGCCGGTATGGTGAACTCCTAGCAGTGGAGGGTCACCAGGTCGCTTAAGGAGGGGAAAAAAGGCCCATGTTGGAAAAAATAGAACACATTGAAACTTCACTCTGATCAGTATATCAGTGAGTGGCCTCCTCACGAATTTCTAATCTGGATCAGATAAGGAGAACAGTCTCAGAAACAAAAACAAATCAACAACAACAGCAAAAAACAAGCAAACAAACAAAAACCTTGTTGACTGATGGCTTACATGAGTGGCCCTTAGGAAAGAGAATTTAATCCAAACAATATCAGAAATTATAAAAAGTCTTGCCTAATTTCAGTTGCTGGTTGAAGCCAATATTCTCGGCAGGCAGTAGAAAGAAACATCAAAATTCTCCCTACATTTAAGCAGGTTACATTTGATGGGAGAGAAATAACAACACATACATAGTTAAGTAAATACAAATTATCTACAAAGTAAATAAAATGTAATTGGGTGGGGATGAGAGAGATCACAATAATCTGGAGGGAAGGGATCACAAAAGTGCTACCTTGGGAAGTGTCTCTAGAAGTGAACCTTGGAGCAAGCTTGAAATTCCAAGAGGCTAACCTGGGGCCAGAGTGCATTCCAGACAGCATCGACAACCTATGTCTATATTGACAGGTAATACCTGAGGGAAAAGAAATCAATCCAGTATGGAGAAGGTTTTAAAGCTCTCCACCTGTTCCCAACGTCCCCCCTCCTCTATGTATTTGTGTTCTATTTCTACAAATATATTTCGACAAATATAAAAGGAATAATCCAAGCTCATACAGTCCTTTGAAAAGCAAACAAGCACACAGGCTCAGTACCTATCTGAATTATTCTACTCACTATTAATACCTTGCTCTGAAAATTCTAGCATGCACAGAGTGTTGGGGAATCATAGCTTTCGGGCTGGAAGAGACCTCAGAGAGAACCAGGCCGTTTGCTTAAGCACGTCAGTCATGATAGATTGTTTGGGAGGACTGCACAGAATAAATGTTACAGATATCTGGTGCATGCAAAGACCCCATCACTTTGTTTAGCTGATGTAACTTCTCCATTTGAAGAGGCTAGCTGCATCTGGGAGAGTCATGGTAATGTGTAAGGGAAGTGCTTCCAAAAGAGAATGGAGCATGCTTCTATGTTCTGTAATTGGTTTCAGTTGACTAGCCACATGGCAAATGGGAGGCTCTTTGATTGACTTCAGTGGTGTTCAAATGGCCTAGGTGGCTTCCACCATTCCTCTCTTACCTCAGTCTTTTTGGTTGCTCCATTCCTGGGTGAGACACCATGCTTTAACCAAGAGAGCCTACAGCAACTTCCTCATCCCGTTGATGTCCTGGGGAATAAGAAACAGGCCTTCATCTTTTGCCTTTCTGTTTGTTTCTTTTTTCCATTTCTGGGGAAGGGAATTAAGTCTCTAGTATTGTGAGTCTAGAAAGGTCGGAAGGGTCCTCTCTCATGTTCAAAATTCCAGATCAGGTTTTGTACCCAGCTTGGCATCAGTGGCCTGAGAGAAGGAAGGAGTGACCTGAATGGCCCAAACAGCTGAAATATACATATAGAATCGATGGAAGATAACCTTAGAGCTGAAGGCTCTGATAGCTTAGGGAACGTGGAAAGGTTCCCTACAGAAGGTGGCATTTGAAGTAGGCTTGAAAGAAGCCAGAGATTCAAAAGAAAGAAGGAAATGAGCATTTTATATAGCACCTACTATGTGCCAGGGGCTTTACAAATATTACCCCATTTGATCTTCACAAAATCTCTCTGAGGAAGGTACTATTATGATCCCAATTTTACAATTGTGGAAACTGAAGCAAACCAAGGTTAAGTCACTTTCCCAGGGTCACACAACTAGTAAGTGTCTGACACTGCATTTCATCTCAGGTCTTCTTTACTCCAGACCCAGTGGTCTATCCACTGCACCATCTAGCTGCTCCATCGTCTAAGAAGTAGAGGTGAGGAGAACATTCCAGACACGGGGCACAGCCAGTGTAAAGACACAGACTGTTGTGTGAGGAACAGTAAAGTAGGCTTCCAAGGCTGAACCTCGGAGCACGCAGAAAGGAGTACTATACAGGAAGACTGGAAATACGGGAAGGGAATGTGTGGGACAACTGAAAGTTTCTCATGTGAAATATAAGCTATGCTCCAAAAATGTAGTAAGGCTTCAGAAGCATGAGCTGGGCCCAAGTTTCACTTTCTTGTAAGTCTTGTGTTTTTTGGGGAATAGGGCCATACACCAGACACCTACCCCCTCCCTTCTTTTGTAGCCACCCCCTCTCTTGTTTTGTACCTTATCTTTGCCAAATAAGGCAATCCTCTAGCTCCCAAACTTGCTATGGGTAAAATATATCTCTTGGGTTCTAAATATAGACTGTAAGGTCTCTTGCCTCAACCAATGAGGATAAAGAGATTGAGGTAAACAGGTGGGGAGGGGGGGTTTCTCAGAGGGGTTTGCCTAAGAGTATGTAACTGCTTGCCTGCTTCTTGCATCTTGCCTCACTACTCCAGTCCACCCTGGGTAGGTGATACCCAACTCTAGCTCGAGATTTGCTAGAATAAATCTTCTGTTTTCTACCTGGAGAAACCTCTGAGTTTTTATTTGGGTAAGTGGTGTCAATCCCACTCAGGAACAGGCTATGAAAAATTTAAAATGACAAACAGGAGTTTATATTTGATCCTAGAGGTAATGGAGAGTCTCTGCAGTTTCTTGGTAGAGGGCAACATGGTTAGCCCTGTGTTTTAGGAAAACTAGTGTGATGGCTCTTAGGAGGATAGACTGGAGTGGGAAGAGACTGTAAGGAGGGAAGCCAGTTAAAAGTCTATGGTACCAGTTTAGGAATGAGGGGATGAGGACCTGAAGCGGTGACTGTGAAGAGAGAAGGAGGCGTATACAACAGATGCTGAGTTGTGTTTGGAACATGTTTGACACGCGCAAATTTTATTGACTCCAGATTGATATCAGGGACTTGTCTTCCTTTGTCACTTTTATGAGATGTGTGAGAAGTCACTGCTCTTAAAAAAATTAAATGAAGATCGTTTCCAACCTAGGAATTTCCCCAGAGGCAGTTAGGTGGTACAGTGGATAGAGTGTTGGGCCTGGAGTTAGGAAGACCTGAATTCAAATCTGGCCTCAGATGTTTACTAGCTCTGTGACCGTGGGTAAGTCACTGTCTCTCTGCTAAGTCACTTTCTGATAAGTCATTTTGTTTGCCTCAATGTCCTCAACTGTCAAGTGGGGATAATAATAGCACTGACCTTCCAGAGTTGTTGTGAGGATCAAATGAGATTATACTTGTAAGCTTAATAAATGCTTATTCCCCCATGCTAATGACATCACAGGTTAAGAACCGAAATACAAAACAAAACACAATTCACAAAACCCACCCCAAAAAATGAAGGGAACTGCAACTCCATTCAGAGTGCCTGCCATGTTTTTACTCCATGTCTGTGGATGAAAACAATACTAGAACCTGTCCCTGATCCCTGAAATAAACTCTCTCATGTTTTGCTTCCTGTATTGTTTTTTCAACCCCATAAGAAGATCTTTTATTTCGTCAGCATGAACATTTCCTCCACAGATAACAGACAGGAACTCTGCCCTCAGAGGGTAGTTTTGTGTTGAGTCTTCCCAAACTTAACTAGGTTGGATCTTGGCTGCACTGGCATACCAGACCAGGCCTATAGCCAAAGCCTTTCTACCTTGGCAAGCCTCAACAAGGCTTGTGCTCTGCTGGCATTATCTGTGAAAACTCAGGGTCACCTCCATGCATGGGTCGGGGGAGAAGCATTAGGACTTTCTCTTTAATCTCGATGTATTCATTATCCACAGAAGTGTATCATGGAGTGGCACAGAGGCTTACAATGGTGACAGACCTGTATAACCTGAATAGCCACTTTTCTTTCTAGGAGTTAAGAGAAAAACATTTATTTCATGTGTCTATTGAGTTTTAGGTGTTTTCCCCACATTGCATTGTCTTCTTCACAGTTCTCATAATATTATCTTAAAATGTTCCCTTCTCTAGCAAGATCTGATCAAGGTGATTCTAAGTAAATAATAAATCGTTAGCTCGCACTGGCATGAAAAATTTATACCTTTAACCTTATTCCTTCATCATTCAAGGGACACCAAATCCTGTGCAAACAAGTATGATTTACAAATGAGTCAGTTGCAAGGCATGCCGCTTCTCATTAAAACATACTCTTGAAATTTTGCTACCTCATCACTGTTCACACAAACTTTGTTGCCCCTGATTTTCATAGTAGATGCATGCCTTTTACTTTAGATGAAAGAAACTAGGATAGTTTCTAGTGGATAGAAAAACTGTTGAGGATGGTCACTGGATTGGAAGTCAGAAGATAAGGGTTCATATCTTCTCTCTGTCACTTGTCCCTCTAGGCCTCAGTTTCCTAACTTGCAAAAATATGGGGTTCAGACTAAATGACCTCTAAGGTTGATTTAGGGGCGGCTAGATGGCACAGTGAATACAGCACCAAGCATGAAGTTAGGAAGACGTCTTCATCTTCCTGAGTTCAGATCTAACCTCAGATGCTTACTAGCTGTGTGACCCTGGGCAAGTCACTTCATTTGCCTCAGTTTCCTCATCTGTAAAATAAGCGGGAGAAGGAAAGGGAAAACCACTCCAGTATCTCTGCCATTTGTGAATGGGATCACAAAGAGTCAGACACAACTGAAACAACTGAACAAGATTAACATGGAACTCCAGAGCCTTTCTCCGTGTGCTATATGCAGATGCATTCCCTGATTTACAAATGCCTCATGTTCACAGTTCCCTGTAAGAAAAGGCATAGCCACAGTCCCCTTCTCTCCCCAAATCAAGGATCCCTGAAGTATCCTCACAGTGGCACAGAGTTAGAGGAGTCAAATAAATTAGGAGAGCAGAGGGGAACTTCCTGTTCTAGTTACTCTGGTGGCCAAAGAGCAAAATGCATTCTTGCCATTTCAAGTTAGAGTACATCTCGTTAAAAACCAAAACGATTGTTGTAAATGGTGGTTGTGTTCTCTGTTCTGTTACTATTAACACTATACTTAAGGTACATTAGGGATTAAGTAGGTTTTTGTGGACTAGCCTGGGAATCATTATTAATAATGTCACGTCCATGGGAAAATGCGTTCTGATTTCTAAGTGCTTGACTTAAAAACTTTTTTGGGGAGAACACCACCTATGCATAAAGCAGACACTATATTTGGTTATTTATTCAAATAATCTAGACTCGTGGGTAGAAAGGCTAGGAGGTGCACCTGTGATTCATTGATACAAGAAACTTCCAGAAACTCCCTCTATCAATACAGGGGTGTGCGTGCTTTGTGATTTGCAATCTTACGGTTGCCTAGGGATTGAGAGATTAAGTGATTTTCCCAGGGCTACCCTGTCAAGATGTGGGACTGAAATCTAGTTCTTCCTAGCCCTGAGGCCAACTCTCTGCTCACCATGCTATACTTCTCTACTGCCTAGATTTTAACTAGGAAAAGCTTACCTTTGTGCTCTAGACTCAACTGTACCCTGATATCTTTTGGATTTGAATAAGAGGCAGCCACCTCATAGCTGGGGGGAGGGGGATCTTTAGGAGCATATACTAATCAAACAGCTTGGGGTGTGATAAGGGAACAGAGTCTACATTTAGTCCCATCTTTTCTACTCAAACCTCCAGAGATGAGGGATTTGATAAGGATTGTAGACTCAGGAATGATTTTTGCAGACTAAATTTTTGTAGTAGTTAAATGGTCATTGACCTCCCTACTCAGATATTATATTCTAGCTTCCCAATACAGTCAGGCCAGGGAATCCAGCTCTCATTGTCTTGGTATAAGGCTTCTGGAGGTGGGGAGGGGCATCTAGAGGCATAGTAGGCATAGGATGGAAATTTTCCAAAGCTGTGTGTGTGTGTGTGTGTGTGTGTATGGTTTAAAGAAAAAGACCATTAATAGTAGTGACTAGCATTTATATAATGTTTTAAGGTTTGCAAAAGCAATTAACAAACATGATCTCATTTCATTCTTACAACACTGAGAGGGAGGTGTTATTATTATTCCCATTTCACAGATGAAGAAACTGAAATAGACAGAAGTTAAGTGACTTGCCCAGGATCACATAGCTAGAAAGTGCTAAAAGCTTGATTTGAACTTGGGTCTTCCTTCAATGACTGGTACATAGTAGGTGCTTAATAAGTGTTTATTGATTGATTTCCTGAGCTATACTACTTAGTTGCCTCTAGTTGTTAGCTAGACAAAGCTCTGGTTAATGGAACTGTGATCATCTAGAAAGCTTGTAGTTTATGCATGCCAAATACAACACGCT